GTTGCACTGCTAGTGTTCTACAGAGCCTGTCAGCTGTAGGTCACTCATATGAAAGTGTTCTTAAAATGAACAACATGCTGCATCATCATCCGAGACTCCTATAACATGAAATATATGGCAGAATGAGGGTAAAACACAGAGCAAGAGACATACAATTGTTCAGGTGTTCAGTTACGAATTTAATTAATGCATTATTTTTTTAACAAGTATCATCAACATGGAAGCATGTCCTCTGGAAAGGTGGCCAAAGCTTGAAGCGACATACAAATGTTTAGCATAGCTGGTATGTAAATATCCTGCAATGCCGGCTACAAAAGTGCCAGGCGAACGCCTGTTCTCACTTTCAGGTGATATTGTAATTAAGAAGTGGGCAGCGTTATTTCCCGTGAATGTAAACAAACTTGTTGTCTTAGCAATTGGCTGAACAAGAAGTAGGATTGAGTGGACTTGTAGGCACTAAAGTTTTACTTTTCTTGTTTTTGAGTGTCGTTATGTAACAAAAAAAATCTACATTTGTAAATTGCACTTTCACAATAAAGAGATTGCACAACAGTACTTGTATGAGGTGAATTGAAAAATACTATTTCTTTTATCATTTTTACAGTGCAAATATTTGTAATAAAAATAATATAAAGTAAGCACTGTATACTTTGCATTCTGTGTTGTAATTGAAATCAATATATTTGAAAATGTAGAAAAACATCCAAAAATATTTAATACATTTCAATTGGTATTTTATTGTTTAACAGTGCGATTAAAACTGTGATTAATCATGGTTAATTTTTTTAAATCGTGATTAATTTTTTTGAGTTAATCACATGAGTTAACTGCAATTAATCAACAGCCTTAACAATTATCCCAGGGACCTCATATTAACATATATGGGTTTGAATTCTCAACCTTCATATTCACAGCACAAACCTCTTCAATTGCAGCTATAAGAGTGAAGATGGGGGAAGATATGTTGTTAGCCTCTATGAGGACGATTGCATAAACGGAGAAAACACATACACTACCACTGAATTACACAACTATTTGTGAATTAGCACTAGAATGTTGGGTACCAGGATTCCAGTGTTCTCTCCATAACCCTGGGAACAGAGTATGGTAGTGGCTAGAGACAAAATTGCCAAGTGTAACGACACTTATGTCTGGGTCATCTGCAGGGGCTGAACCTGGGATCTCTGGCTCTAAAATGGGTGAATCATAATTATATCTCCCCTAAGGGATTCTTAATAGTTGTGATGTATAGCAAAACATTAAGAGTTGTCAGGAGAAGAGCTGGAATTAGAAGTCATGGGCTCTTATCTCATAGCTCATCACACCTTTCCCTGGATTAAAGGGTATTGTGTGAACAAGTCTGTTTTCCTCCTTTCTCCCAGACTTCTCTGATTGTGCAGGAACGTATGAATATCACATGAAATGCGTGCCACCCATCAAGTCTGACTAGCATGCTTATAATGGAAATTGATGGTTTATATGCTCCAATAAATAAATGAATTGTTAAAGAATGTGAGGCACTGGCAAATAAATTAGGGAAATAGTTGTGGTGTGCACGTATAATGCCACCAAGCACTAGAACTTTAACTTGTGTGAGGCAGCATAGCTCTTTTGCCTTCAGCAGAGCTACATTACTTCACACAGCTGCGAATCTGGCCACAAGTATCTTCTTGGAGTTTCTCTTTAAGAAACAAAGGCACAAAGCAGACCATTTCAATTTCAACAGCACTGAATCTGAAAAAGAAATGGACATGTATTTTCAAATGAGCCAGGAAGTTTTCTCTCAGAATTTTCATCATGGTGTTATTGCAAACAACTTAGACTAATATGGTACCAGCCCTGAACCTTGGTATGGAGGTTAGGGAGTATATACCCCAAACCTCTCTGGTATGTAAGCACTTCAGTTCACTGGAGGTACATTGGAGGTTCCCCAAAAAGGTATTGCTTGAATGAATGTCACATATTTGATTTTTCATGTGGTTCATATTGTTATTCTGTCATTGCCTCAAAAATTGTCATCCTTTATAAAGGATCCTACTAGGGTACTTCTTCCTGACAAAAATGCAAAATTGTAAGGCACCTTGCTATGTAGATTCTTGACTTAGAAATGTGGTGGCTGTTTGTGTGGATTAAGATTATTGAAAACATTGTCACAAGTGCAGTATAAAATGAAAAATCTAAAAACTCCTAAATTATTCACTCCTTTGGTCATGTATATATTTTTAATGCATTCTGCACAATTCTTTACACACCCACAATGGTAAACAATGAAGACTGCAACTGTAATATTACTTAGAAATATGAAGTGACATTTGTTTCTCAGGGATCCCATAAAAAGGAACAACATAAAACAAGGTAAGCCACTGTTTATAGTTTATAAACAAGCAGCAATAGGCTAAATTAATCGGACACACTCAACTTAAAAAAATCCAAAAATGTTTCACCTACTTTTCTTTACAAGTATCACCCAAGATCACCAAAACTGAAATGTTAGAGATTCGCCCCTTCCCCCCAGTTTGTTTATTTGATTTGAACTTGTTTTATGTATGATCATTTTCACTTCAATGGTACTTTATTAGCATGATAAGATATAAGGCTTGCCAATGGGGAAAAAGACAGATGCATGCAGGTCTCTGTCAGAGATAGGTGAAATCTGCCAGAGATGAGACTCCAGACTATGTGGTTTTATCCTGTATCCATTTTTCATTCCTGATTTAGTAGCAGATTGGTGTGTAGCTTGCTGCTATCTTTGCTAGCTCTTGTTTTTCTCCTATAATTAGGCAGTTTTTCTGCACCAGTTTTTCATGAAAAACATTTTATAATTTCTGATAATATGAGGAAATTCTCACATTCCCTTGTATTTTGGACACTGGAGTAGAAACTGTTTCTCTTTCTCAGCCTCTTCTCTGTCAGAGTGATTTTACAGTCATTTTGTCACTGACTTTGGACTGTAGTTTGTGCATCCCCTTTTTCACCTCTTGGCTTCAGTCACAGGTTTTGTATTTAGTGAGAGTCTGGCTTTGTTTTCACAGTTAGATAGGCTGCTAGTGTGAAAGTTTTGTTCTAGGGATCTGTAGCAAATATAAATTGTTGCTGTTTTTTATTTGTTCCCCCAGTGGCTCAAAGATGGGTGTTTTAGGTGTCAATTTACAATCTTGAGCATGTTTTGGTTTTGGATATAGTTCTCTGTTATTTACAGTTGTTGAATCCAGAGAATGGATTTAATTTTTGATCCTCAAGGTCAGTCCATCGGACTTAGAGGCCAACCACCAACTAGATGTCAGGATGTTGGATGCAGGGACATGACGAGGCTGGGCTTCATGGAGGAACAAGCAATGGGCAGGAATGAATTGCAACTCTGCATATGCTCCCCATGTCTACAAAGATGTTTTGGGATACAGAGAGAGAGAGAGTTTTTTTGCAATGGAGGGAGTGTTTGCTATTTTGGCTGAGATGGAATTAGAAATTGAATGGATTTTTCTGTCTGTTGGTTAGTAGTGGGAATCAATCCACTTCTGATCTGTAACCATTGTTGCTGGAGAGCCTATTGGGTAACCCCCTGGCCCCCCACTCATTTTACTTTCAGATAGCGGAATGGGTTGGATTATACTGTCAAATAGTTTTACAGGAGGGTAGTATTTATCTAGTAGTTTGCTTATGGTATATGGTGTAATGCCCCACAGTGCATTATCTTGTAATATTTTTATATCCAGACTGAAGTTCCATGATGTATTTGTTATGAGACTCAGGTATGCATAATCTAGGGCATGTTCAGTTTTCATATTACTGTAATAACAGTTTAAAAGACAAAATATACTAATTTCCCCCTGTTTGGGTGAGCCTTTCACCTAGCAACAGGGAAAGAACCAGGGCAGGTATAAGTGTCTGAAGCAACTTATGTTAACTCATATTGGGAAAACGACTAGATTTCAACTTGATGAATTAGGACATTCAGAAGAGTATTCTCAGGGCAAAAACAATAAGACAGTGGAATTCAGACTGAACCCATGGGAGAAGCTGTGAGCTAATCTATGTCTGATGGAATTCATCTGGCTTTCTGGGCACCTAAACTGCCCCTGGCTCAAAGGTACTCTGATTCTGAATAGCAATGTATTCTGCCATTGGTACTTTTATTCATTCAGCGCAGCAATAGCATATTCATTGTCAATTTAAGATTACATTGTTAGTGAAATCCAAATCTCCTCTCTCTTCATCCAATCAGTGTTATTGTGCACAGAAACCCTGGTACTGTTCCCTGAAAGGAACAGATGTACTGAGTAGCCATAGAACACAGGAATAACTGTTGGGAGACCAGGGGGAGGGTTCAGATCTGGAGTCTGGAGCCCTGGACTGGGACCTGCATTTGGGTTAACCTCTCTTCCCCTCTATAGCAGTCGGATGAGGAACAGAAGACCCAACAGCTCCCTCAGTATGTTGAGGGTCAGCAGTAGATTAAGGAGAAGGAATAGGGGGCTATCTGATGGCTTAGGTCCAGTGAACCTTAGGGAGATTATTAGTATTTCTATTATCGTAGTGCCTAGGAGCTCTAGTCATGGACTATGCTAAATATGCAGAAATGTCAGCATCAACATGGGTAGGGACTTTAATGTGTGCTGTAGGTTCTAGGTTAACAGCTGACCAAAGGTATTAAGAAAAGATTCCTTGTGATTCAGCCACTCTTCTTTCCTGTCCAATCATTCCTCGTCCCGTACATTCTGAAAATGACACCAGACTTGAACTTTCATTTGTCTGCTTACCTCACCAATGTTTTCAAGCAGATGCTGATTCTATCTCTGTTTGTTGTTCTGTTATCTCTTCTCATAAGAGTAAAAAAATGAAAAGTCAATACCTGTGTTTTATTAACTTGAGGATGGGCTGGGTGCCATCTTTACATTTAAACATTGTAGGGAAAAATGCATACACAGACTTAACCTGAGGTTCCTTTCCCTTCATCTGTGCTCGGCTGACAGGGCTGGCTAGACTGCAGCAGAGTCTCAAACAGCATAGCTGGACCTCTGGTGCTGCATCTTTCCCCTCCTCCTCCTCTTCATCCTTGCTGTTCACAGCAGGGATCTCTGTCTCAGGCTCCTTTGAGGTATCCATGGTGGTCTGTGGGGTCTCCAACATGCAGCTGCTCCTTGTAAAAGCAGCAGGTCTGTGACTCAGCATCAGATCAGTTGTTGCCTTCCATGGCCTTCTGATATGCCTGCTGAAGTTCCTTCACTTTCAAGCAGCCCTGCTGCTGATCCCCATCATGCCCTTTTGCCTGCATTCTCTGTGCAATCTTTTCATCGACGCCCACATTTCTCTGCCTGGTCTGTAGCTGTGCCTGCACAACCTCTTCTCCCCACAGGCCCAAGAGATCCAATACCTCCAGTCTGCTCCAGGCAGGAGCATGTTTAGTGCGTGAGGCCAGCATGGTTAGCTGGGCAGTTGCATACAAGGGAGAACTGCTAGGTGTGCTTGCCAAGGGGGCAATCCGGAAAAGGCATTTTAAAAATATTCAGGGATTTTTTTACGGGGAGGTGGCTTCCAGTATCCAGGACCTCTGGGCAGTTTTGTTGACAACTGTGACCAGAGCTGTCACTGTTGAGCATTGTGGGACAGCTGCTGGAGGGTTGTTAAGGTTGACATAAGTCACGTGGTGTCTAGTCACGCAAGGCATCGACCTCAGTAGGATGACCAGGACTCAATGCTGTTTGGGGAGGTAGTCTTACTGCATCATCTTAACAGGGCACTTACATCAGCTAGAGACAAATTTGAGTGTAGACACATGCACAGATAGGTTGACGCAAGATGACTTATGTCGACCTACCTTTGTAGCATAGACCAGGCCCAGCATCTGGTTGGGAATGCTAATTGGATGGTTAGGCTTTCCTGCAGATGTCTGTGTCCAAACAGTGAAACACTAAATAGCTGTGACCTCATCAGTGAAACTCTAAAATAATGCCTTCATCTATTTACTATGCTAAATGAAGGTGTGTGGAGAAAAAAGGGAGGATAAAGATAAAAAGGCACTATGGGTATGGGGTTAAGAGAGTCATTCTGAGGAGGAGACAGAGAAAGGAGAAAATGACAATTTTACATTGTCTTCTCCCCTCAAAGTACAAGTGAAAAGCTAGTGAGTGCTGGTTCAATGTGCCAAATATAGATTTCATAAAATACAGTCAATCAAATTGGCTAGTAACGGGTGTTGAAAAAGACAGCTGGGCTCCTGGGAATAGGATAGAAAGGGATGCAAACAGTCCAAGGTACATAAAAAAAAAAGAGAGAGAGACAGTAAAATACGAATATATATAACATAGTAAACGTAAGAGAGTACTTATAATACTTTTCCCTATGATTTTATCATTTTTAATAGGAAGTACTTTTCCTAATGGAAGGAAGCACTACAGAAACCTCCCAAATGTTTTTAAATGAAATGTAAAATTAATTAGTTATGTTCTAATACCAATGAACTACAGTAGGTTGTATTAAATAGGCTATTAGTGCACTTCTCTGGTGGTTGCAGGCACTCAGTCTTTGGCCTCATACCACACATTGTATTCAAGAAATGCACTGATACCCTACGAATGTGCATTCTTTTGTCTTATTATTGTAATAGGCTGGGTATGAACTGGGACTCTAGACACCTGGTTCTGACATTGGTTTGCTATCTAACCTTGTGTAAATCAAGCTGTTAGGCTATGAGTTTCCCAATATGCAAAATAAGGACAATCACATTTTATCTACCTCATAGGAATGTTATGAATCTTAACTCAAGTATTAAGGCCAATCACTGACAGAGTGGGACAGAACTAAAGAATTCCTGGCTCATAGCCTTGTACTTGTCCTTTTAGAACATGGGGGCTCCAGTATCTTATTCTAAAGGACATTTTTATACTTTTAAAAAATAAATTACTTCAAATGCATATAGGTTACTGAAAAGTTCAAAAGAAATATGTAATTATATGACTTTGCTTGAACTGTCCAATGATACCAATGGTGAGTTGGTAATGCAGAGAGCGACTGCCCTCCAGATTCTTCAGTCTGTAGTATTTTTTGCACTCCAGTGACACTAGTGATCATTAGTGACCTATTTTCTCTTCTTTTTTAGTGGAGATGGAAAAAAAAACAGGTCAGATTAAAACAAAAAAAAATTGAGACCCCCCCCCACAGCTAGTATTTTTGCTTATATCTCAATTCAAATCTTTTTTTTTTTTTTTAGTTTTGACCATATTCTTTTAGCTTTGGTTTTATTTTCTTCATGTTCACTTGCCTCTCTCTCATTCTGGACCTGAATCTGCATGGTGCTGAGCATCCTTAACTGCCACTGAAGTCAATGAGAGTTGGGGGTACTCACTACCTTGCAAAATTTGACTATCTGGTTGGTACAAGATGCACCAAATCTCCATCTCAATGGCTATTCTCTTCAATATTTTCATCCCAACTTTTCCCTCATGAGACACCTAGTTGACAGACCTGATGATGTCAGGTAAACATTTGAACTTTTGGGTGCGTCCTACCTTTTGAGGGTCACTCTGAGTTCTCTTTAAACAAGGTGCTATTATATTAGTCCAACTATTACCTCTGTGCAATACATTGAAACTGGTTTACTGGGCACTGCACCAAACTCCTTAAGTAAGTATTTTCTGAACTTATGTAACCAGTGTTGCAAGATGAATCATGTTGTTATAAGCAGGACAGCACACATTCAGGTGTAACTTTTGGACCTGCTTTTTGTATTTTGATCAATGTAACTCTCTAAATGTGATCACCTAAAAGAATTGTCTCAAATTGAGTCAATTTTAAGTAGAAACATTGAGATATTATGATTTGTATTCACATAATTATTCTGTGCCATGGCAGGTAGTGCTATGTTGGTTAACTGAATTATATATTTCCCACTTAAAATAATGAATGCACACGATGCAAAAATAATTATGATGTTATAAGATGTTTAGCACATTTATTAAAGGGAAAATACGAGTTTGGATGCTTTAATGGAGAAGGAGACGGGGAAATTGCTATGCAAAATGCTATTCACAATCTAACATAACATCAGGAAGACAAAACAGAAATAATAGAGGGAATCTTGTAGCTTGACTTCAGGTCATCTGATTTGGATGCTGAGAGTATTTCAGTGTCCAGAGATGTATTCCTTAGTTTGGAAAACCTACCATTAGATATTCAAGAACCTGTGACTGCTAGAAGTCGATATTGGCCATGTTGACAGTTTGGGGGCAGATGTCCACTTCTGAAATTGATTATACATAATATCACCGTTCACTCAAAGGATTGTGTTCTTACGATAAAATAAAAAAATACTTTTTTCCATTTCCTAGAACCTGTACTATACACTTTCTTTCGACTGTAAATGAAGATTTTAGCAGAAATAACTTAAAGAAATTAGTTGTTGATAAATGAAATCACCATACACTGTGAAAGAATGAGCTCTAGGCCCTTCTTATGAAATTGCTGGAAAGAAAACTTCATGATTTATTTAGATAGGTCATTTTGGTTGTTTAACCAAACGCTCAGCTGGTTTAGTGCACTGCAATCCCATGCCATTCCTTTTGCAGGACATTTTGGGGATAGGACCTGCAATTCTCTTGCTTTTAATTAAAGAAGCAGCATGTTACATGCATGCCTGATTTGGCCCTCCTTAATAGTCTTTACCTCCAGTTCAGGTTATCTTAAATTAAAACAAAGACAGGGCTGGGTCCAGAGTTTTTGCCGCTCCAAGTGGCAAAAAAAAACCGAAAAACTTGCTGCCGAACAGGGAGGCGGAATCCTGTTTGCCAAACACGGAAGCGGAGTGATGGTGCAACTGAAGAAGAGTTGTGGCCCCACCACCGAATTGCCGCCCCTTTACATTTGCCGCCCCATGCACCTGCTTGGTTCGCTGGTGCCTGGAGCTGGACCTGAATAAAGATTATAGAAATTTCAGCGCTAATATAATAAAACATGGCTAAATAATACCAGTGCCTTATCTAGATTAAAAACAGAATTGTTGTGGCTCACAGTTGCGTCATTGACCCAGCATCTGTTTTAAAGGCAGAAGTTAAGGACTCAGAGAAATGGTGTAAAAGGGGAAACATTCTCTTTTAGTAATATTGGAATTAGTACTGGAATAAGACAGAAAAATATAAAGGCACAGTCAACAGTTCTAGATGCTAAGCCTTCTGGAGTGGACATACCGTGGTTATTATTACTACATCTATCCAGTGCAAAGAAACTTTCGTTAAGAAAATGGAAAAAAAGTCGGTGCTAATGATTAATGACTTGTCAGAGACACCGTGGTAGTCACAAAAAACCCAGTCTTCAAGCTACATATAAAAATGAGCTGGAGATACCCTGACATTCACTGGTGTGGCAAAGTGTTCGGAGGACACTCGATTTGTGTCAGATTCTGCACTAATGAATATTATGAAACTATAATAATGGGATTAGTAAAGACCTTTGGCCAGTGGATGAGGACATTACACTTTTGGAAAGTACTTTCCAGTAAGACATCAAATAGGAAAAATATTTCCTCTTAATTCAGCATTTAAATATATAAAGGGGCACTAGAAAAATTTTATGACACGAAGGTGCCTTACCAGCCTAATTATTCTATTCTGTATAGGTCCTTATAACACCCTCATTACTGAAGTATCTGAGCACCTTGTGGTAGTGTACTAAGGGATGTAACTAAACATCTGTGATTCATTCTCTTTCTTCTTAACATAAGAATGGCCACACTAGGTCAACTCATTGCTCCATCTAGCCCAATAGCCTGGCTTCTGACAGTGGCCAGAGCCAGATGCTTCAGAGGGAATGAACAGAACAGGGCAGTTATTGAGTGATCCATCCCCTGTCATTCAGTTCCAACTTCTGGCAGTCAGAGGTTTAGAGACACCCAGAGCTTGCGTTTGAATCCTGATCATCTTGACTAATAGCCACTGATGGACTAATTTTCCATGAACTTGTACAAGTGTCACTTATCAATGCTGCTATTATGAAAGGAAACTATAGAATTTAATGGGGATGAAACCAGTGGAGGGCTATTAAAATGCATTCCAATAATGAGGGAAGGATGGTGTTAGGATTAAGGGACTAGGGTGGAATTCAGGAGATGTGGG